CCAGCAATGTGGGGGGGGGAATTCTGGGAGTTGAAGTCCACACATCTTCAAGTTCCCAAGGTTGAGAAACACTGGTCTAAACACACAAGAATCTCATGGGATCTCAGCTTTTGACCCAAGATGGTACCTACCTTCTGTGGTTAAGCTGTCTACAAAGTGGGAGGATGATGTGACAGGGTCTTCTGGAAGTAGTGTGAAGGGGCTATGGTTGGGAGTAGAGGACATGTAGTGTTCATCCTCTCCAAAGTCTGCACAAGTCTCCTCTTCTGACTGAAATGACAATGCAAAATAGAGTCACTCTGGCCCTGGCTTCAAAGAGAGAGGCCTCAGGGTCAGTTCAGAGCTGCATCAAGTCTACCAAATACAGTGGAACCTCAAGTTACGAATTTAATCCATTCCATGACTCTGATTGCAACTCGAATTGGTTGCAACACGAGGCAAATTTTCCCATAAGGTTCAATGTAATTACCATTAATCCGTTCCTGCGTCTGCAGACCACGCGTCAGGGGTGGAAAAACGGCCGCAGACCACGCAGCAGGGCAGAAAAATGGCCACGGACCACGTGGAACGGGCGGAAAATGGCCACGGACCACGTGGAATGGGCGGAAAAACGGCTGCGGACCACGTGGAATGGGCGGAAAAACGGCCGCGGACCATGTGGAACAGGTGGAAAAATGGCCGCGGACCACGTGGAATGGGCGGAAAATGGCCGTGGATCCGGTTCATAAGTTGAGGCGAGTTCACAAGTCGAGGTAAATTTTTGGGGCCAGAGCTGATCGTATCTTGAAAAATTCGTAAGTAGGGGCGTTCGTAACTAGAGGTACCACTGTACCTGATTCTTGCCCCATCCATCGCTGTTGGGTCTCCATTGCCTCATTCTTTTCAAGGATCCTTTAACACAGCAACTGAAGTAAGTTGTACAACAGAAGAGAAAGGAAGCAGGGCTGTTCTCTGGTTTCACCTGAAGCTGTGCCTCCAATTAACAGCAATCACCCTCAGCTCATTAGCTTAAGAACTGCAACTTCTAATACCTTTTTCCTGGTGGTCATATCTTTTAAATTATAAATCTGAGGAGCAGGACTGTAATACTATCAATCTTCAGAAACTAGCATCTCCATATTTTCCTTTGCTAAAGAGCAAGGTAATAAATGTTCTAAATACCAACTTTAAACCAGTAAACAGTACGTTTTCTGATCCTATATGTTTATATGTATCTATACTATTCTGGAAACATACAGATATGGAGTCTTCGCAATCTAATCATAAAGGTTTAGGCTTCCTCCCTACCAATATAAAATGTTTTCACCATTTGTCTTACTCTGAGCACATCATCCCCCTGCCCCTTGATCTGTTGTTAATTGTGTAATGTCAATGTTATCTTCTCCATAATCTCAGCATTTTATCTCTGTTCAATTGGTTCTTCCACATGGTCTTCAGTAACTGGAAATGATTGGCTGCAATTAGTCAACCATCACTTTTCTAGCACTGTCTTTTATGCCTTCATCTTTGTCCAGAAATATAATGCAGATATGCGCATGCTACCTTTTTTGATACTACTTTCTTAAACTCTTTAGATGATCAAATGCATTGGACATCCTGGGGCTGATTAAGCAGAATGCATGCAAAACAAGTAGTCTTTCATTTCATTCCCCCCACTAGATTTTTAGCTGAATGGAATATACAGGGTGTCCCAAAAGTCAAACCCCACAGGCCAATCACAATATGCTTTATTAATTTTTTTCCAGAGAAAATGTTACTGTACATAGGAATATTCAAAAGTCATGTGTCAAATGAGTAAAAAGGTGTTTAGAAGAAAATGGCAACTAATTCAGATATTTAATGTAATTTATATAATAAATTGTCTATGGACCTGACTTTTGATACACCCTGTATATTATCCCATTACTTCAAAAGTTCTATATTCTCTTCTGGTGCTTTTACACAATCTTCATGATTGCTCACCCTTCAAACTTCCACTGGACTTGTGTAGCCCCACAGTTTTTCTCCCTTTTTTCCCAGTTTAAATATCATGGGAATTCCCCCCAACTTCCCTCCACAATTATCCTGCATAACTCCAAGATTTTGCCAGTCAGCAGAAACTCCACCTTTCTATCTTCATGAGCCCAGCATATATATGTGTTAGACTGACATCTCACCTTCTCCCTAGGAGCTCAAGGTAGAATATGTAGCATTCCCTCCTCCAGGTTTTCCCCACAGCCGCTTGTGAAGAGGTTAGGATGAAAGATAGCAACTGACCCATAGCTGAGAGTAGACCTATCCTCATCTAGGATAGCTTAGTTACTACATGTCTCAGAATTTGCATTGTTCCCAATTAATCTCTGCCCTCATGTGATTCCATGCCATCATCTGTCTTTAGCAACTGGCCAATTTACTCCTGGCTTAGCTGTGGTTCAACAGGAACTTCTCTGAATCTGGTTTTCAGCTGGGAATGGTGGGGTTCTGCTGTTTGGGGGTGGGTTATTTCTCCACTGAAGGGAACTTTTGCTTCATCTGTTCTTCAGCTTCTGAACTTCAATATCCTTTAGGTCCTATAAGGGGAATGCTCACTTGACAGTTTTGTCCCATCCCATCAAGAAAGGAAGCTAAGTAATCAAACATGAAATTGACAAATTTCTCTCTTCTCTTGATGAGGTACAAATTCCATGCAAAGGACCCATTTTTTCAATTTTTTTCTTTCTTTTTTTGTGTGGAATGATTTTTGATACTCATTCTCAACATTTCTGGTTTGGTCGAAATAAAGATGAGTGTGGATCATTTTCAAATTGCTTTTGAGACTGGGGAGAGGAAATAGTAGCCGTATAGAAGTGCCCATTGGTGACCATCCAGCCAGAACTGATTATTTTATCTTTTATGTCTTCTTTAACTATAACCATTACCTCTTGGCCACAGCCGTATTCCAGCCACTCTTCACGATATCGGTCAAACCCACTGGAGCACCTATGGAAAAAGAAAGCATAACAGCTGATATTAAAACAATAAAGATATGGTGATGCTTGTTAGATGATGCTTTTACTATAGATGTTTTTCCTAAGAAACCTAGGAAATCACTTATTCTTTCTCCCCTTCTGTGGCTGAGTCCACACAATATGCTAAACTAAGCTAAAGTTGAGCTGTTTACAGTTCAGTGAGAATGCAGTATATACTGTGAAGAGAAAACTGTGTTTTGTTAATCCTGGTTTAGCATGCTTTGTGAACCAAACCTCTAGGTAGCGTTTTCTGGCATCTTTCTACTTTACTGCATACTGTATGGGCTGCTTCAGCAAATGTAGATATGGAAAAGAACTGCAGGTCATGCAGGAGAAAACACATAACAGCACTCTATTTCTCATGAGGAATTGCACTACCAATGCATAGACTAGGATTCCTAATATTTGTCAGTCAGGTAAGCAGGAGACTTTTGACAGATCCAGACAGAAGGAGCTTAACTTGAAGTAATCTACATCAGAGTGCCAGAATCAAGGTCTTTATGAACTTCTTTTATGAAAAACTGCAGCCACTTTATAAGAACTGTTCTCTCTCTCTCTGGGCAAATTCTTGAGGCTTCCCCCCCCCCCGCCCCCTAAAATTATAGCTTCCTAAAGATGCTGAAAGTTCTTTACTAAAAAGTCCTGTTGGCATGTCTGTATCAGGCTACAGTTGCTAGGCCTCCTTAGTACAAATGCTGCCATCAGAGTAAAAAAGCAATTTGGAGCCTCCATCTTCTTCAAATGGCTTGCATACTGTGCTAGCAGAGGAAAGTCCTAGGACCATCTGGTCCAATCTATGTAGGAGGGCCAAGTGATTTTCTAAAGTAAGGTTTTATCATCAGAATTCCCAGCTGGGTTTAGTGTACCAGACACATGGACACCAAATAAATATAACAAACAGACAAAAAGGGCTTGCTCTGAGGAACTGGGGATTCCATTCCAGCACAGCTGGGTTGGAAGCATGTAAACGTTCCCTTGGCTACTTTGGATTCTGTGCTTGTATTGGATAAGAGCATATCCTGATTTTCTTGAAGAGCCCTGCCCCACCACAGCTGATTGGGTTTGTAAACTATTCCCAATGGAGCCTAAACCCAGCCTATTCCTCCTGCATGTTCATTGCACCAACTGTGATTTGCTATCGCTTTGAGACGCTTGCTGGGAGGCAGAAGATGGGGCAGGAAATTGGTCTCTCCAAACACACCCAACAGACAGGAGCCACATATTCACATGCGGATTATTCCTGATACAAAGGAATAACCAGGAAGAAAAGAACCTCATTTCTGATGCTTGCAGAGCAATCAGGGTTCAGGCTGTTTGCCTCACAGCCCCACACTTTTAGGCAGCCCTTTGAGCATGGTGGGGAGTGTCCTGTTGCAGATATGGGGAGCATTCTGCATTTGGTAGGATTCAGCATTTCCATCTTCATTTCTGAATGCATCAAAGAAAGTATACAAATTTTCTAACTTATTGTTATTGTTATTATTTCTATTTTGCTTAGAAACATCTACAAATGAAAATGATCTAAAATCAGTGATGGGGAAATATTGACAACTTTAGGATTCTTAAAATTGAGGCATTTTGGATAAACAAAGCTTGGAATGCAAGTTAAAGTTAACACATAGACACATCATATGGGCACAGATCAAATGTATGGATCTCCTGTTTTAGTCAGTCGTAGAGCAGATCAATTCCTCATTTCTCAGAGTGAATTCCAAAGGTATATCTACTTTATCAGATATATTACTTGGCAGCATATGAACAGGACACCCTACTAAGCTAGCTAAAAAGCTGCTGGAAGATACTGTGTTTGCAATCCTGAAGTTATCTTAGAAAGATACTGCATTTACTACCAGAAAAAGTGACTACATCTTTGCTTTGATGCACAGATGCATTAGTACTTTTATTATAGGACTGTAAGATAGATGTTGAGGGCCTCATTCCATAGAAAGCAAGAGGCTCCCAAAACACAGCTCAGGAGGCTGCAAAGCCTATATTACAGAGAAAATTCTTCTAAAGACCATCTAGTACAATTCTGCTTCAGGGACCATAAAAGGGAGAATAGGAGCCTTGCTCCATTAGCTGTACAAGTATTTTATCCCAACTTTGTGATAACTATGTCACTGTTGATTCACACGACACATTCTCCAGTCTGTAATTCTGGTGTTATTTTCCCTTAATGCACCATAGACCTTCCCACCCCCCACCCATCCCCTGCTTTGTCTACTGCTATAAAGTTCTTTGGGGAAACCATGAGTCTAGCATTCTGCCAAGCAAAATGTATTTCAAAGATATTTTAACTTCCAGATATGAGTGGTTTCCTCCATGGATAGAGGAGAGGATAAGTCATGTCTGTGAGTGACTGAAGCTGGAAAAGCAGCATGTCTTCTGATGCTAAGGAGACTGTGAATGAAAGAGACTGAAGAAAGCAAATAATACATAAGGGCAGGACAGCAAAGGTTTAATTGCTTAGCTCTTCAATGGAGAAGGGATTCCTGGACAAGAAATGATTATAATATTTTTAAAAGTATCTCAAATGTGCAGGAATGGAGGACCTGATATTCAGAGCACCCAAGCCCACAATTACATTTTGAGCAAAAGAAACATGCAGTTTGTTCTTTGCAACATTTCCTACTTCCATCATAGGTGCAAGACTTTGTTTTGTCGGGCATCAAGCACATTTTAAACACAGCAAATACTGTACAAGAGCTCATTTTTTATTGCTGCATGTGCCCACTGAACAGCAATTGAGTTTCAGAAAAATGGCATCACCACAGTGCCTCACACATGAAAGAGGCTCCAGGGTAGATCCTGCCTGGATAGCAGACTGAGTAAAAAAACTAAGGCAATTTATTCTCCACTTGTCTTGTATTTTTAGTTCAATAAAAAGGGACAAGTTTCAGGTAACTAAGGGCAGTGCTTAATAATTCCTGGCCGGGTGGCGGGGGGTGGGGGGAACAGGGACTACAGAGAATGGGGTGATGATGCAAAATAGAGCCATGTCATCACATGAGGCTTTGGGGAGGATATTCTTTTTTGAAGCATGTTAACCCTACAATATTTTACAGGTATTTTTCCTCCCTCAAAAAGGTGGAAAAACACATTCTGCAATGCAGTTGGAACAGGTTCTGAGGAGCTACAAAAAAGGCAGCTGGGGCTATCTGTGGCTCACCAATGTAGGTGTTCCACCCTTGAGCTAAATTTCAGCATTTTATTAAATTTGCATTTAACAGATACAAATCAGCAGAAATACATTTTATGACATCCTCTGTGTTCTTTAGTCCTCTTTTTTGGTGAAGGATCAGCATGGACATGCAGCAGACCTATTTGTCGTATTTTGGAGGAAGAGGACCCATGCTATCAAAAAGGTTGTGCGGGATGTGAAGACTTAGACTATGAAGTGTAGATTTTAAAATTATTTGACTGCATGTGACTATTGTAGGCTACAGAAATTCTACAGGTTGAATTAAGTGAAAGTTTCAGGACAAGAGCCAGACAATATTAAGATAACTTAACTCCTTTGAGAAGTGAATGTAGATTCCCACTTAGGTTTAGAAGACTTACCTCTGCAGAACATGGCACCAGCTGCAATTGAAGTTTAGGCCAGATGCCGTACAGACCTCACAGTTGTGAAGCTGGAGACAAGCTACAAGTGGAAAGATGTAATGAATAAAGAATGTTCCAATCCTTATTTTCTAAAGCTGGCTTGGAAGGTGTTCTTTCTGTTCTTGTTCCCCCACATCTTGAGGAAGGCAGACTAAAACTAAAGAACTCTGTTACTTCATTTCCTCAAGATCAAACTAGTTCAGGACTCATCATATTCCACCCAAGTATGCTCTCATCACCATAATATTCATTTATAATAAAAGATCAGGTTATTTTTTTTTTCATCAGTTGCTTTTGGAACATAAAATCATACAGTGGGCTGTATTCTGACCCTGACTGTCAGTCTATAATATGTTGTTGCTGAAAACTTCCCAGGAGCTGTGAGGAGTTTGGAAACACACAAGTTATTCTGTAATATTTTTTTCTCTAAAAATGGCCTGCGCCCCTGCTAGTGCTTGTCCCAGGATGAACCCCAGAGTTCCAGAGAAATTGGGAAGGTTGCATTGTTTCCTATCTCAAAAGTAATTTTTTGAAAAAATAAGCCGCATTTTTTAATACTCTTGACATGGTATAAAAGAAGCAGCAAGAACTTGGAATTACTTGCAGTTGAATTCATAATAAATATGACATTTTTTTTCTGTCCTTGTCTCTCTAACTAAAGAGCCAGTCACCAGAAGTCTTTTGTGGCAATAATGTCTTCTTTACTAAATGTGTGAAAACTTGAGTAGGGTAAACAATCCTTTACAGAATGCAACTGCTTCTCTTTTAATATCGATGAAGGAATCATTGCACCATTAGGGTTAGTCAGGATAACTCTCCAACGAAGACTTGATAGCCACTAACTGATTTCAGATCCAGAATACCTTGATATAGGCATCTTCTACATTCAAGGAATGCTGCAATCTGAGATCTAAACCACTCTTATGCATCCTCATGATGCTATAGGGCTTCCAACTATGTTGGAAAGCCAGATCTGTTAACCCTAATTAACTGGTTCAAATTATACCAGTGTTTTTCAAACTTGGCAACTTTAAGACGTGTGGATGTCAACTCCCAGAATTCCCCAACCAGCATGCTGGCTAGGGAATTCTGGGAGTTGAAGTCCACACATCTTGAAGTTGCCAAAGATTAATTTATATGAATTCAAGTTAACCAGATGAATTGTATCCCACCTTCTATTTTTGTTATTTCCCTCTCCCTTCTCCTTTCTTCTCCTGCTAGAAAAGTGTTGCCGTTCCTCTGACAATTGTCCTCCCTCCCTGCAAAAAGTGAATATGAGGAAGCTAACAGAAAAGATGGAGATAGTGCCAGTTGCTTCTAGCTTTGGGTGCCCTCCACTGGCTGACCTGGGGGAGCTCATCAACGCTCAGAATAGTTACTGGGCCCGACCCTGCACAGAGATGCAAAAGCATTGGTTATGGTTAGGAGGTGAAGCTACCAGTGATGTGGAAGGAGCCTAATGTTCAGCAGATGACTGAAACTTAACCTGACTCTATATTTTGAATCCCAAATTTGTACTGAACTGGTAGAGGAAAAAAACACTTGATGTTATCTGTTTAGGATTCAAAATGCTCCAGGACTGTTATTTCTTTAGTTCATAGCAATAATATTAAAAGAAAATGACAGCCACTGTATTTGGCAGCAATTTTAACAAGCCATTTTTTAAATAGAAAAAAGCATTTATTATAATCATGCAGAAAATACTTTAATGGTGATTTCATACTGTCTGTTGACCATCCATCTCTGTTCACTTACGCTTGGATCCTGGGCTTTATTTTAGTCTATTAAAATGTCTGCCAATCTCTTGCACTTCTTTAGCCAAAGAAGAGAATGTGTATGAGATGTGTGAAGAGCCTCTCTCTCAGCTCAGAGTGCTCTCAGGTCAGGCTCTGAGACAAGTACCCAATCAAAGGAACAGGAGTTCCCCCAAGCAAAGCATAAGAAATTACGCACATATTACTAGCTAAAGAATCTATCATTTGATCCAGAGTCTAAAAATTACCTTTCTCTACAGCTTTTTTTTTTTTTTTTAAAGAACTCCACCTATCAAAGGCTGTCTGCTTCACCAAAAGAAAGGGAGGGCAAAGCTGCTTCTTGTTGCTTTTTTTAACCAGAGGCAAAAAGATCCCAGTTCAACTGTTCAGTTTGCATTCCAGTTTTGAAACTTTTTCTCTTTGAATCTTGCTGAAGGCTGACATGCAGCATCTTTTCAGATCGTAGGTCATTCAGTGATACTATCAGCAACTGAACAGAGTTGGGGCTACTGTTCATGCAAGACCTTATTTACGTGAACAGTCCATAGGCTTCTGTAAAAAGAGGGCTCAGCTTTCATGAAAATAGTATCATTATGTTCATATTCCTCAAGGAGTACAAAAGAAAAAGCACATATTAAACTAGTGTTTTGGGGAAATTTGAGTTCTAGCCAGGAACCTAGGAAATATCCAAGTAACATTGTAAGATATAACATGTGTCCAGCAGGTTTTTTTTGTTTTTTGGTGAATCCAAGAGTTGTTATAGCCAAAATATTTTGCTCTTGTAAAAAATTGTTTAATCTGTTTGTTATTTCACCTAATGCACCAATAACTATAGGGAAAGTTTGCAAGATCTCCACAATGTTCCTCTTTTGTTTTAAATTTTCCTTCGTTCCTTCCTTCCTTCCTTCCTTCCTTCCTTCCTTCCT